AAAGGCAAGGGTGTTACATATAATATGGAAACATTCCTGTATCTGGAGAAGCCATTTTTAGGACTCCAGATTCAAATGGGCTGGATTCATATATGTCCCAGGCAAGGGCATATTCCACAAACAGCAAGTCTTGGGTTTTCACAAATTGAGGACTGCAAGCTAGAATTTTATTCTATATCAGGTAAAGATATATTCCCAAAGAGAAATAGCACCATGGACTTGTAAGCTGCAGGGGAGGCCCAGAAAGCAACCTGTCACTTTGGCTGTTGTAAATGAACTGAAATTGACTGGCACTTTCGTCACTGTATGGAGTGATATCATTAAGTGACCGTCACATGACCCATGTGACTTATCTTCAGCAAAGGGAGACCTTACAGTTCTAAACTGAATTTATTTTTGCTACATATGTTCCATGTCATTTTTTACTAAAAGCCAAGTTATAGTGCAACTCATACCCAGAACCGGAGGCCTATTACAAATCTTGTTCCACTGGAAGTGAAAGATTTTAGTATTCTTTTGGGTTTGCTGTATTTCACTATTGTAGCTAGTTTAAAAAGGTTTTGCTTTTTACATTTGGATTAACTTTAGCTTATTTAACTGAAGTAAGTATAACATTTATTTATCTTATTTCTTTTGGACTTGCTTTATTATTTTGTTTTCATTGTAAAAGACTTTTTAGTGTGAAATTACCCAAAAAATTAAAAATTTCTTGTCTTGTTACTTACTTTTCATCTAAAGCTAATATTCTTCTGTATGAAATTTTTTATTCATAACAGCAAATATACTACTGATCAACTTTATTTTTGCATAATCTGTATTTCTGTTTCTAACAAATGAAAAATGTATATTTAATTTTTACCAGGCTTCTTATATCAAAATGTAACATTTTAATTTTACTTGATTTAAAGAAATCATTTATTAATTTTCTATTTTTTCTAGTCTTTCTTATTACATATGTTGCAAAGTCTCTCCTAAAAAAGTTAATTTTAATGTTTTGCAATGTTTAATTTTTAACAGTCTTTCCTCCCAAAGACTCTTTTCTTCAATTTTATTTTTACAATGCAAAATTTATTTAAAATTCTATTATCTGTTGCATAAAGTTAATTTAATATTTTTCTTTATGATATTTTTATTAAAAAAAAAAATTCCTTTATGAGTTATTTTTTTATGAGTTAAGTTGAATTTTAGTTTAGTTTACTTTAAAAAAAAAAAAACACAAAATATCAACAAATGTGATATCACAGGAATTAAATTCTAAGTATATTTTTCAACCAATAAAATCCTATCAGAAGGTTTGTTGGATAAACAATCATTACAAGGGCAAATAACGACAAAATACTTTTGGACATAGTTGTAGACCTACCACATGTTATTTTTTGACTATTTAGAAAATAACAATAATAACTCCTTTCACTACTCCTGGAAATTTCAGAAAAAGAGTTTTGCGAGCCAGTGTGAAATTATTTTCTAACCAATTAAAACTTTGTATTCAAAAAGTTCACACCTCTATGTGAAATTAAATTCTGAATCCCCTTACAGATATAAAAATAGAAGCATACTGCTTCGCAAAGCTCAAAACAATTTTGGAGGCCAGTTTGATCTACATATGCCTACACTCACACTCACAATAGAAGAGAGAACTAGCAGCTGCTGGCTAAGGCTTTTTCCACACACATAATAGAAGGTATTAATCAGCAAACCATTTACTAAGCCTTTGTCTATGAACTCACAAACACATTAGGCTGACTGTCATAAAGTAAGTCTGTCCACACATTTCACACTATACTAAGAACACTTAATTACTTTATAAAACAAACTTCACTGCAAGGAAAATTGAACATTTTATTGCTATTGTATATTTCTGAAAAGAATATATAAATGTTTCAGCTGATGTTCTGCTTCCACTTTTCATCCAGAAAATAACCTTTGATATGTTTAATTTAAACTGGATGCTAAATTCCTTAAACTTTAAGGAGGCGTGGATAATACTTTCCTTTTTCCTCAAGGGATTTAAATCAGTCATTATTGGCCTCTCTAAAAACAAATAACAGATTCTTTATAAATTCCTTTAAATGAAAATTGTACTGCTTAAATATACAATGTATTATCTTTAAAATGCCTATTTCAAGAAACTTCTTTATGAATAATTTTTCCTTATTAAAATTTAAAGTTTTTAGTTATTCTGCATATGAGCCCTGAAGTAAAAAAAATGGCTTGAGAAACATTAATCTAAAGAGATAATGCAATTGAGACAGTGATCAAAAAAATAAAAAGATCAGCATATGACTAGACAACAGATAATTTTATGATTCAAGCAATCTCTGAGGCCAGTGCATTTGTTGACATAAGGGCTTTGAATGCTTTAATAAATACAGAAGATAAAATGCAATAAGAGAAGATGCCAAAAATTGAACCATTTGGCACAGTACACAAATAAGATGAGACATACTTTTCCAGTCTGTTCAGTGATTTAGCATAGAAAATTCCTTTCAACAAACAGTTGCTCTACAAATGGTACAGAGTTCTTAAATATAAGAACAATTTAAGGGAAATATAATAGAAACAAGCATGAAGCAATCAAAAAATAGAAAATGAAAGAATAAAAACAGAAGTATAGAAAGCAAAATGAAGAAAAAAATGAAGGAAAAGCAAAAGAAGAACAAAGAAATATTGAAAAAAAAGAGCAAAGAAAATAGAAAAAATATGAAAGAAAAATAATTCAAACCATATAATTTACGTTGTTTATTCATCCATCTATTGATAAGTCTGTTTCTTATTTCATTTGATTTGCACTGCATTTAAAGAAAAAAGAGAGTAAAAAGAAAATAGATATAAAATAACAAAGAAAAGTAAATAAAAAATCTAAATGATAAGAAAAAGAAAAAAATAGGTGGAAAAAATTAAAATTAAAAATGTTGCAAAAATATTTAAAATGAAAACAATTCAAATAGAAGGAAAAAAGAAAATGAAATTGGTATAAGAATTAAAGCAGAAAATAATGGAGGAAAATTAAAGAAAAATGAATGAAGAAAAAGATTGGTTTAATGCAACTAGAAATAAAGATGACAGACATAAAAGAGAAAAATGCTAACAATTGTAAATGAAAAAACTGCAAAAATAAAAAGAATTGTAGAGATCACATGACCTTGTCTGCCAGGAAACCTACTACGTGTCATTCTATTCAGGACTATAAAAGGAAAGACATAAACACCCTTCTTTCTCTTTTGGATCACTCAGAAACAGGATACAGTATGAAGTAGATATATTTCAGACAAACAACGTAGATATCACATGCACAACAACTAAGAATGTTTTTATTTCTTTTTATGAGCTCTAGCTATTTGCATACACAAATATAATTTTCTCTTTTTATGGTCCAGGTTAGGACCTAGGAAGAACAACACAAACACAAGGGTAGAAATAACGAAGGTATATTGCACAAAATAATAATACAAGATGTGGAAGGTGTTAGTATGACTGTCAGTCTGGTTTGGAGTGAACTATTATCGGCTCGACTCAATTCATCCCTCTCTCTTGAGAGGCGTAGTATACATAGTGTTAGGAAGAGTTCATTCTGTAACTATAGGTAAGGACCCATGACAATAATAATAATAATAATAATAATTGTTATGGTCCAGGTTAGGACTAAGGAAGAACAACTTGAACACAAGGGTAGAAATAACGAAGGTATATTACATGAAATAATAATACAAGATGTGGAAGGTGTTAGTATGACTGTCAGTCTGGTTTGGTGTGAACTACTATCAGCTCGACTCGATTCGTCCCTCTCTCTTGAGAGGCGGAGTATACATAGTGTTAGGAAGAGTTCATTCTGTAGTTATAGGTAAGGATCCATGACAATTATATAATAATATGTTTTAGGGAAAAAACTATGAGAAAGTAGAAAAAGTTTTCATGAGACGCATTTCGTCCTTTAGGATTTCATTGGATTTCATTACATTAATGTGAATACATATGTACACGAAGGAAAGGGGATGCTGAGAATTTTAAATTTAAATTAAAAATTTAAAAAAAAATGTTAAACTTATTCCACTTTGTCATAGTTTTCCCCTAAAATTGTTCTCAATACATAAATATTTATGTACTATTTTCCCATAATAATAATATATGTATAAAAATCCTCCATGAGTTGAATTGATTTTTTTGAAGATGTTGAATGAATTTCTTTTGAAAATGCTGAATTTATTTACTTTGAAAGTTTTCATCCTCATCAGCAATAAGCTCTAACTCCTCCTACTAAAAACTGGTTATGCTGTAGTGAAAGAGAAATAAATAAATAAAAATATATGATAACAAGAAAACCAAAATTTCACCATCTCTAAAAATAGATGGATGATCAGAATCGCCAAGCAACAAAGTCATATTTCAACCAACCAATCAGAAAGCTTTCACAGCAAGGATATAAGAAAAGAAATAACTAAATAATAACAAGGAGACCAAAATTTCACCATCTCTAAAAATAGATGTATATTTAAAATTGCCAGGCCACAAAGCCATAGTCAGACCAACTAATCAGAAAGATTTCACTACCAGGATATAAAGCTACAAGCCAATGAGAAGCAGAGCAGTCTTTTTGAAGTGGATTATTAGATTTATAGATGTATATATAACCAGATTGAAAATCAACCAAAACCAGAATTGATAAATAAATCTTGCCCATTCATCAATGTTGTGGTCACTGTAAGATAACCAGAGCCTATATGTGATAAACCATCCTACTACATTGAAAAACATAAACCCTTTCTTTCTTTACACTTTCAAGCAGCTTGCTGATACATTTTAAAATAGACATACCTTCCTTCACCCACATTGTCAAGCAGCAGCTACTACATTTTCCTATATACATATATAAACATATACATTTATTTTCTCCCTCTCATTCTCTCCCATATGTGCCCACAAAACAATCCTCCATAATACACAGCAACCTCATCAATTGCAATTATGTAGCACCTGTCTCACTATAGAATAAAACAAAATCACAAAGAGAAAAGAAAGAAAACATAATTATAATGAAAGATAATGAATGAAAATAATACAGAAGGAATAAAAGATATCAACTGACGGAAAAAAAAGAAAACTAATATTGCTGAAGAGTTTTCAAACACTGACGGAAAAAAAAAAGAAAACTAATATTGCTGAAAGAGAGTAGTCAAACACTGACGGAAAAAAAAAAAAAAAACTAATATTGCTGAAAGAGAGTAGTCAAACACTGACGGAAAAAAAAAAGAAAACTAATATTGCTGAAAGAGAGTAGTCAAACACTGACGGAAAAAAAAAAAAACTAATATTGCTGAAAGAGAGTAGTCAAACACTGACGGAAAAAAAAAGAAAACTAAAATTGCTGAAAAGAGAGTAGTCAAACACTGACGGAAAAAAAAAAAACTAATATTGCTGAAAGAGAGTAGTCAAACACTGACGGAAAAAAAAAAACTAATATTGCTGAAAGAGTGTAGTCAAACACTGACGGAAAGAAAAAAAAATTAATATTGCTGAAGAGAGTAGTCAAACACTGACGGAAAAGAAAAACTAATATTGCTGAAAGAGAGTAGTCAAACACTGACGGAAAAAAAAGAAAACTAATATTGCTGAAAGAGAGTAGTCAAACACTGACGGAAAAAAAAAAGAAAACTAATATTGCTGAAAGAGAGTAGTCAAACACTGACGGAAAAAAAAAAAACTAATATTGCTGAAAGAGAGTAGTCAAACACTGACGGAAAAAAAAAGAAAACTAATATTGGAAAAAAAAACACTGACGGAAAAGAAAGAAAACTAATATTGCTGAAAGAGAGTAGTCAAACACTGACGGAAAAGAAAGAAAACTAATATTGCTGAAAGAGAGTAGTCAAACACTGACGGAAAAGAAAGAAAACTAATATTGCTGAAAGAGAGTAGTCAAACACTGACGGAAAAAAAAAGAAAACTAATATTGCTGAAAGAGAGTAGTCAAACACTGACGGAAAAGAAAGAAAACTAATATTGCTGAAAGAGAGTAGTCAAACACTGACGGAAAAAAAAGAAAACTAATATTGCTGAAAGAGAGTAGTCAAACACTGACGGAAAAAAAAAGAAAACTAATATTGCTGAAAGAGAGTAGTCAAACACTGACGGAAAAAAAAGAAAACTAATATTGCTGAAAGAGAGTAGTCAAACACTGACGGAAAAAAAATAATATTGCTGAAAGAGTAGTCAAACACTGACGGAAAAAAAAAAAACTAATATTGCTGAAAGAGAGTAGTCAAACACTGACGGAAAAAAAAAACCCGAAAACTAATATTGCTGAAAAGAGAGTAGTCAAACACTGACGGAAAAAAAAAAGAAAACTAATATTGCTGAAAGAGTAGTCAAACACTGACGGAAAAAAAAAGAAAACTAATATTGCTGAAAGAGAGTAGTCAAACACTGACGGAAAAAAAAAGAAAATTAATATTGCTGAAAGAGAGTAGTCAAACACTGACGGAAAAAAAAAAAAAACTAATATTGCTGAAAGAGAGTAGTCAAACACTGACGGAAAAAAAAAAAAAAAACTAATATTGCTGAAAAGAGAGTAGTCAAACACTGACGGAAAAAAAAGAAAACTAATATTGCTGAAAGAGAGTAGTCAAACACTGACGGAAAAAAAAGAAAACTAATATTGCTGAAAGAGAGTAGTCAAACACTGACGGAAAAGAAAGAAAACTAATATTGCTGAAAGAGAGTAGTCAAACACTGACGGAAAAAAAAAGAAAACTAATATTGCTGAAAGAGAGTAGTTATTTTATACAATGATACTTATGGACTGACATCCTCATCTTGATTGTTTTTATCATCTTTCTACCATTGTAACATTAGACTTTCAGGTGTCTTTTTTATCCAATAACCTTCACTCTTTATTCCGTTCAGATCTATGAAAGTGGATAAGTTCATAGCCTTAAACATATTATTTGAATTTTGATCTGAAATTTTAATTGTAGGATATTCAATCTCTGTGATTAATATTCACCACTAAACTAACTGCCAAAGAAAGAGATAACATTAAAAAATAAATATTTTTGTGCAAAATAACTGCTTTCTTCACTGTTAGGCTACAGACTTATTGATGTATCTATGTAAGATTAATATTTTTTAAGCTATTATTCTCCCAATAAAAGACCTAAGAGCCACTCAAGGCAGAAGGTTACTGAATGGGGTTGTTTTATGGATGTAAGAATTGTAGATTATAAGGATATGTAGATTCAAGTCTGGAGAGCTCTATGAGGCCATATGCTTGGGGTGACTTGATTATGGAGATTTAACCAATCCATTCCTGACTTGTCTTAACATTATGGGATGACACAGTGTCTTGTTGGCTGGTGCACATTCTTCATTTTACTCGTGCTCTCTATCCAAGGCCTTACAACTCTTTCCAACACCTCCTTATAGTTAGCAGCATTGACCCTTAATCCCTAAAGAAAGAAGTGAAGAAGCATAACATTTCCCTCATTGTTCATGACTCTCATCACAGTTGCTGAAATCTTTTGTGTTTCATTTTTTTTTTCTTTTTTTTTTTAAGCATTTCACCCCTAGCAAGGCGAGGAGCCACTAGCATGCAAGGGTTTACAGAGGATTTGGAGCGAGAGCAGATAGGAATGATAGTGGAGAGGATGAGGAGAAGGATAGTGGATAGATCAAGGCAACTGGAGATGTCGATTGACATTATATTTGAATAGTTGGAGATTAAAGCTATCAGGGAAACAAGAGTAGGGAAGGGAGTTCCACAGGCAAGAAGTGCGAGACATGAAGCTATTGAAGTAGAAGAGGTGGCTACATTTAACAGTTTCAACAGTGAAAGGGTGAGAGTGGAATGCCAGCCTCGTAGGATGACTGAATTCATGAAGTCTTGGAACCAGCGAAAGCAGCTCATCGGAGCAATTACTATGAAAAAAAGACAGAGAGAGGCGACAGCCTTTCTGTAAGAGAGTGACTGCAGGTGAGATGCCAGATCAGGGCTAATTATATTGCATATCCATCTCTGGATCTTATCAAAAACCCCGAGGCAAGACAATTGGAACATCCTTAGAGTCTCTGCATAATCATCTATCATTCCTTTGGTTGACCTTTTAGTCCTGATCAAAGATTTTCATATCAGAGAAAAACCAAAGCATTCTAGGCTCTTGATGTCTTAAATTGCTCAAAAAGTGTTTTTATGGATGAGACAGTTATCTTTTGTCTTTGCTGACATGAAGCAACCTCTTCAAGTCACATATAACTTTTATCGAAGGTCCTCATGCACAATTTTTCTGATACAATACCATGAAACCTTGATCTCTTTAACAATCATGTTAATTAAATTTCTGGGGTCCATTATTAATAATTTTCTGAACCTTTTGTGCAAATTTGGGTGTTCTGATAATATTAGGACCCTTAGCACGCATTTTATATTTGGCTACTGCTGTAGAAACCCTGTCAGTGACTTTTAGCTCTTTGTGAACTTTGGCAACAATGACTGCCCAATTTTCAGAAAGTAAGCAATCTCTAAATCACTATGCTTTGACTTTAAGGTGAGAGTTACAGCATGCTTTTTCATTTGCTGAGTTAGTGTGATGTTTGTCATAATTTATCTGAAAAGAAATGATAATCAGAACAAGTTGGAAAAAAGTTAGAGATATTAAAAGAAAGAACTGAGCAACCCTGTATAATGGATGATGATTTTAAATACTTTATATTGCAATAAGCTGCATTTATATCTAAGGAAATCATCTGGTACCAGATTTGTTTATGTTACCATGAGATGCTGCGAGATGCATTTTCTAAAATGTAATAAAAACATCAAAAATAAAGAAAGAAAATATGAGGTGGGTGTTAAAAAGTTTTCTGGAAATATGACCAAACATCTCATTTTAATTTTTTTTAAGGGCTTTTTGTTCAAGCCAAGAATTTCCCAGTACTCATTCATAAATGATATTGAAAAAAACTGCTTTGAGAATATGAATCAATTACCAGAACTATAAATCAATACAGGAAATAATATCCTTTGAGATTTCCCTAGTATAAACAGATCAATATTTGGAATCATATAAAAGGATCAACTTAATTATGCTTTTATAAATCTTTTCACGCATTAAAGCTTTTACAGTGATCTGAAAATCAGTAATGGTTGAGTTATTCTTTATGTACCATATTGCAAACATAAAAAAAAAAATATTATAGACTTTTGAGGCTTTTCAATATCCAAATCACACAAAATGTCTAATAAGCATATCTAAATTCTTTTGGTTTTATATAGTAAAAGGCTGTTTTTTTTTTAAATATTGTGAAAAGCAGGTTTTAGTGAAAAATTGTGTAAGATATTTTTTAAATATTTCTTTGCATTTATAACTTTTTGAAGGAAATTATAAAAAATCATGAATAAATTACAAAAATTTATTGCTAAAAAATAATTATTTGATAATTTATAATAACTTTTGTAAGGTTTTCACCTCATAATAACAAATATCAAATCACAATATGACCAAAGTAGATAATTCTCCATACAAATAATATATCATATACCATATTGGAAAATAACTATTTTTAAATTAATTCTTAACTGATTTTTTTACAGAAAATAAATAGACTAACAAAAAATATGATCATATTAAAATAATGTTAGAATGCATATAAAACCTTTTTTGATATAAAAGCAAATACAGAAATAACATAGAAATCAATATGATCAATATTCAGTTGGTGCTAAATTGTGACACTTTTTTAATAATTTTATGAAAGTTTTCTTCTTCAAAATTATTTAAAATATCAGATAACAATCTGAATTACTCTTCAAATGATTAATTAAAAATACTTCAAAAAATGATTTCTGTTTGTAGATATGACGTTTCAAAAACAATATATAGATTGACTGTAGGATTCAGGGATGTAAAAGAATTCTTCATGCAGTGTGTGCCACTCTTGAGTCTGCTGCCCCTTCCTCTACCCCAACCCCCACAAAATATATACTGCATAGTGACGCCCTCTTATATATATATATATATATATATATATATATTAGCAATTAACAAACAGGCCCAAAAATGGAAAATAGAGCAACACAAATCCTCAAACAAACTTCTGTGAAGGAAAATAACTGAAATTTATATGCTAACAACCAAGATGTGTCTCCTATACAAAGTGATGTTGCATCCTTAAAAATGCATCCTGAGTCTGTTCACAGGTCTCATATTGTCAACAATGATAAACCAGCCCTAAATACATCACTAGATAATGTTTGTTGTTTGACCAAGATAATAACTTAAATACATATGCTATAGTTTGTTACTCAAAATCAAAAAGGTCCTAAAACTGTGAGTAGTTTCCTGACATTAAAACCACTTTTATTTCAATAAAGGCAGACCCAAAAGTGCCGCCCCCATAAAAGTGTTGTCTGAGATGGACTGCCTCCCACTAGCTACGCTAATGATTTGAACAGTTATTTAATTTGCTGAGAAAAAATACAGAATCACCATATCTATCAGTTAATATTTTTCCTTCTTGGATAAAGGAGGGATTACCTGCCCTTGGCAGTAGTTAGATTTTAGCAGAAAAGATAGGAACCACATGTTGAATGAACTTCACCCATGGACTTGGACAATATCTATCCAAATATGGTTGACATTTGTAGGTTTTTAATAATAAACAATTGATATGAAATGTCCAAACAAAGCATGTAAGATGGAATATGTGAAAATCAGTTGGATGTTGAAATTTTTATTTTTTCACTCTGAATGAGCATTATCTAAAAAAATGAAACAATCTAAGGAAAAATCATTACTATGACAAATCATTACTATGACAAATCATTACTATGACAAATCATTACTATGACAACACTGCAAGTTAGAAATACAGTGTTAATTTGAAAAATTTTAACAGTTAATAAAATTTAAAAATAAATATCTGTTAACAAATCAATCAAGTTTGTATACAGAAAATGTTGTTTTTTAATTACATTCACTATAATCAAGGCAGTAAAGGACACAAAGAGTTACTGGGTGTGGAAGTATTAGAAAACAGGAACAAAGAGCAAGAACAAAAGACAAGTAATTAGGACAGTAGATAATGACTGACATTGCATTTAAATTTTTGAAGATTAAAGTTGACTGAAAAGCATGGAACCAGAAAGGAATTCCACAAGCAAGAAGTGTGAGAAAAGAAACAGCATAGAACTTACAGTTATCTCTAGTCAACTCAACTGTAAATTGATGAGACCTCATCACCAGTTTAATACGTCACTTAAATTCATAAAGTCTAGGTACTATAGAAAAGAGTTAATTCAAACAATTACTATAAAAGTATTTATCGAAAAGTCACAGGGAAGCATCTTTACAGCAGTGCGAAAGTGACTGAAGCCAAGATGGTAGGTCAAGACAAATAAAATTGCAGATTCTTCTTTAGATTTTATCAAGGATCTCTAGATATATAGCAGGTGCACCAGACCATATGCGACAGCAATATTCTAAGCAGGGATGAATGGTAGACATAAATATATGAACCAACTTTCTTAAGAAACTGACCTAACAATGTTAAAATAAGATGTAAATACTATATTCATATATATGTAATATTTATATTTTTTCTTCACTGAAATGTGCAATTTTATATGTTGGCATATATGGTACATTCAAATATGATATATCCATGTATTGACCAAAAATATTAAATTTTAGATTTTCAATAAGTCAATTCTTAAAGTAGTTCAATTTTGCATTGATGCTGTAATGATTTTCAATAAGTTTCCATTTCAAAACAAAATTATCAGAGAGCAAGATGAAAAAAAGTCCAAAAAGAAAGAAAAGTCATTTTATTGATTTATTTATTGTGAATAACATCTTTAT